CCTGGCACAGCCCGCGGAGGAACGGGTCCCGAACACGCGCGCCCTCGCCCCCCGAGGAAGGAACTTCCCGTATCGCCCCTTCTACCAGTTCCCAGCCTAGCTCTGGCAATTTAAAAGCTGGCACCATTGAACAAGCTGCCAAAAGAAAATCATTCAGCTAAACTCCTTTTTCTCTCCCCAACCCTTTTTATTAAAGTTTCTTTTCACATACGCACGGATGAAATGGAGAAACATTGCCAAAGCGTTGGCTAAAAGAAAAACTAAACTGCGTGCAACCTTTGTTACTAAGACTAAAATTTAGCACCCTGATATTAAAATATATCTGCTCCTTCCTTAGCCCAACTACCTTCATCCATTCTGCAGAGAGCTTTCCCGCACAGATGTCCATAAAGTCACCTGAAACGTTCTCATATCAACCCTGCGTGCGGTAGGTCCTTTCTTTGGCATCCTCACTCAGCAGCGTAAGCTCCTACGCAAGCATTTTGCCTGCCTTCAGTCACGTTCAGGTGAGCAGGCGCTTGCAAGGCATGGATTATATTTTAACCTATACAAACGGCATAGCAAGATTAACCAAATGTCTGTTTCAGGGGATGTGCAGATTAGTCAGTGTGACACAAAATATTTCCTTCTGCACACTAGGCAATACAATCATTTCCTGCAAAGAATATAAAATTTCCGCTAGAGTTTTACCTCTCCAAAACAAGAGTGCATCTCTGCAGAGAGATTTTCCATGCAGTTCAACCACACTAACAGTGTAAATTACAGGGATGGCTTATCAAACAGTCATGAAAGTTAGGCTCAACTGAAAAGGCTGGAACTAGTTAGTGTGATGCATTTAATTTGGGAACATCATATAAAAAACTAATTGCAAACACACAACACTACGCTCAGCTCATTGCTCTGGAAATCAGAGCTGTAAAGCCGACAGAGTTATTATAGCAACTTAATTCCTGGTGCCGTAGCGCTGAGACCCTTGAACACAACCTGATCAAATGCCTTCAGGACTCTGCCTTCACCCTGCGTGCAACCACTGGCTGCTAATGGCAGGCACAAGGCTTGAAAAAAAATATATTATTTTCATAGGGTTACACTAGACACAGAGACAGATATGCAAAAACAATGACACCAAAGGAATCAAAATATTCATGGCTCATAAAGCATGGTAGAAAAGGGCTGGCTCCCGCTCATCGCCTGCCTCTGCTTAGATGCTTTGTAACACAATGAATCAACATTACCCCTTTTAGAAAACCATCCTGAGTCCTGTTTATGTGGGGACAAATCCATCTAATCCTGCTCACACAAGCAAGCACAGCAACTTCAAGGGGACGGCCAGGCTGAGAGAGGACGGCAGAATACGGCCCCTTTTCTGTACAGTCCTGGGACGCTTCTGGGGCGAGACGCAAGATCCATTATTAATGACGTACTAGAAGCTGAGCTAATATGGCACCTGCTCCGGCAGCGCCGACCTGCCCGCGGCCGGCTCCACAACGCTTTCGCCCGCGCTCTGAGCACAGCGACTGCCCGCACGCCCCGACAGCCAGGCCCTGGCGTTTAAAATCACGAGCTGTTTCCCCTAGACGCACAAAACTGGCCTCAGAAATCTGGGAAAAGGCAGGATCCTCCTTGCTCTAAGTCTCTCCGCATCTCCCTGCGATGGGCAAGGGCAAGAAACAGATTTTTTTTAGAGGAAAAAATGTCTTATTTGTCCATGAGAGCTGAGGAGCCTGCAGCAGGGTGGGAGAGCCCTGGCCTACACCCCAGGGGGCTCCGGGCCAGCAGCACCCAGCAGGGCAGCGACGCCGCGGGGCAGCAGTACGTGGCCTTGCACGCCGGGCGGGGAACACGGCCCCCCCACCCCACGTCCCCACGCCGAACCCCACGCTGTGCAAACACTTCACAGCCAAGCAGTCCCCAGCCCTTTCTGCCCCCATGCCAGCCCACCCTCCACCCCAAACCACGCGCCGCCCAGTTCCCCCTGCCCCATTTCAGGGAGGCTGCGCCCAGCGGGGACCCGCCGCAGCCCGGG